CCAGCAATACATTTTTGAAAAAATAAAAAAAAAATATTAGCAGCAATAAAAACCTTGTTGGGACTAAATGACCCATCAATGTTGATATGCCGCAAACCAAACCAAACCAAACCAAACCAAACCAAACCAAATCAAATCTTAGAAAAGTTTCACTGTGTTTCTTTGTTTTATTTTTATTTTTTTTTATTTTTTTACTTTTATTAGAAAGCTCTACAATACAATAATATTCTGTATTACAACTCAAAGGTTCATTATACTGGAAATATATATATATATATATATATATAAATGAATATAAATCATACAACTTAGAGGCGACACTGTTTCATGCTAGACGCAATCGTCAGGCCACACACACACACACACACACATATATATATATATATATATATATATATATATATATATATATATATATAAAAAGAAAATAGATGGATTTTTTTTATTTATTAATCCGATAGATTTTTTTACAGCACCTACATTGAAAAATTAGAATCCATTCTAAATGACGACAACACGGACACTAAAACCAATGAACGATCTATAAAAACTGACAAATAAAGATTCAACAAAACAATAAGGAAATTGCTAAAAAACGAAAATAAATCTTGGTCCAGGTTAACAGAGTATACCAGGCCAATATATCGATTACCCAAGACACATAAACCCAACATACTCATTAGGGCCATTGTATCCTGAATTTAGAGCATCCCACAACTTAGCTAGAGCCATCACAAGATTTTTTTTAACATTGTTCTAGTCACCATCAGCACAACACACATCAAACACTAGGGTAACTTAAATATGATTAACATGTCTAGGACATTAACCCATTATACAACAATATAACCATCACGAAATGCTTTAACATATTAAAAAATCAGAAAAAAAAATCCAAGAAAATGCTTCATCTACCTGTCCATAAAATTAAGATATGAAAAATAATTACTGATCACTGTTACTTTTCTTTCATATATATATAAAATATATATTCACTGTTACTTTTTCTTTTCATATATACATAAATATATATAATATAAAAATCAAACACTAATATTCCAGGGTTATAATTTATTACATTGGAATCTTAATCACGATCAATTCATCAGACCTACAAATTCAAAAACTTTTTGAATTTGTTGGTCTAATGAATTGGATCGTGTATTCAATGTAATAAATTATAACCATGGAATATTTAATTTGAATGTTATATTAAGACTCTGTCCTGGACGTTGAGTTCTACCTGGATTCTATCCTATTGGGAATTTATGTATGCATATATATATATATATATATATATATATATATATATATATATATATATATATATATATATATATATATAGTGTTTAAGCCTTTTTTTATATCCTTACTCTGTCCTAGACATTGAGTTCTACCTGGATCCTTCCTCTTGGAAAATTTTTTTTCTGAAAATATACATGTATGGGAATTTTTAGATATATTTTTCATATGTGTATATATTTTCCACTAATATTATCTATCTATCTATATATATATATATATATATATATATATATATATATATTTATTTTTATTCAAGGACATTTATCAAGGCATCTCATCAATCACCTGATGAGATGCATTGATATCATCGAAACACGACTGCAATTGTGTCTGCGATTTTAACATGTTTTCGATGTAATATCCTATAATAAATAATATTGCTCTACTTTGTATTGAGTTCTCTTTTAAATTAAATGTTACGA